ATAAGTGTAATGCCTTGTCCCCAGGGGTAGAGGGTCCCGGTGATCCTGCCTCTTCTTCTGGCCGGTTCGAAGTGGGGTCTTTTCGTTTGCAATTCTAACGTTAGGCTTGGCCTTGTTCTGTCCTTTGTTTACATAATGGCGCAAAACTTTGTAGGCCGCGGGGAGGTCTAGATGCCCGTTGACGGAGTTGGCATCCGAGTACCATGCCTTAAGTGTCAACCTTTCGGCTTTTGAGTTTCCTCGGCCTATGATGGTTGCTCCTTGAATGTCGAGTCGTGGCCAGTTTCTCCAGTGTGTGCTGCAAGCCGTGAGTGTGGGTCTAGTCATTGAGCTGCCAGTTTGTGTTCGTGTAGGCGGGTCTGCAATTTTCGGCCTGTTTCTCCTACGACGGAGACTGTAATTACGTCGAGTAGAGCATTACGCAAGCTGCCAAAAAGGCAAGCATTCAAATGCCGACATCCTAGCGCGCTGAACAACCTCAAGATTGTTACGCAATAAAAGTCCTACTAATCGAAAAAGAGAGGACTAAAAAAAGTGTGCAGATTTTTGCTACTAATGCGTTCTAAATAATCAAATAAAAGGAAAACAATAGGTCCCCTGGCCATTAATTTGTTCTTAAATCTCAAAGGACGCACATAATTTTAAAAAGCTAAGAGGCTATAGGTTTTATGCGGAAAGCCGCGAAAGTAAGGCTCCATTTGGATGTGCAAGGAAAATGAAGTGTGCATTTTGGCAGTTGGCCCGCGTAAACTATTGATACGCGTTGATGAACATTCACCGATCGCTTACGGAACTCTTTTGTCCCGTTCTGCCTTGGGTCCCATTTCCCGGGCCCTGACGGCGGTCGTAGCGGCCAGTAGTCTAGGCAGATAGAATTGCCGGCACGGCAACTGGACAAGAGGACTTGGACCCAAGACAGAGCGGGTCAAGTGAGTTCCGTTAGTGATCGAAGAATGTTCAGCAGTGAGTGGCAATATCTCCTGGTCTGCACTGGTAAGTCAACGAGCTCGTGTTTCAATGGTTAGAGCGTTAGACTCTGAACAAAAAGTTCTCCAGTTCGAGGCTCGGGTGGTACACTACTTAGGGCTGGCTGATGAGGACTACTAAGCCGGAAAAGACCAATTCAGTCTTCATTGTCTTCGTCAGCAATACTGTCGGCCTAAAGTAAACTATCTTCCATTGAGAGGATGCATAAAAATCAGCTTGTTTTAAAGCGAACTTCAAATGTTTGATATGTTTTTTTGCATCATTACGCATTTCCATATTAGACACCGGAACATAGTTTCCGTACACACCATTTGTTTAGTTTTGGGCGTGCGCAACCGCTGTGTCTTAAAGCGCCAAAAACTTATTGTTTTTGGTTCATGGGTGTTTTTTAGCCTGCATATTAATCATTTGCTTATCAATTATGTGGTTTAATAAAAAATGCAGTTTAATTTTTCGTCGTGATGTCCATTAATTAGACGAAGGCGACTTAACATGCACGTGTCTTCGTGTGTAGCATTTTTTAAAAGCCTTTTGGATTTGACTAATCCTGATTCTATTCTGCCCTTTGGCTCAGGCTTTTCCTGGCAATCAGAGGTCTCCAAATCTTGTTAAATTTGAAGTTATTGTTTATTTTTGTTTCTACTGATCTTCAATTTTTTTTTATTTTCACTCTTCCAAGGAACACCTTATTACTTTTTACAAATGTCTCCCTTCAATGATTTGAAAGTGTTTACAATTTGTATGTACTTTAAAATTCAGTTTGCACCTTTATTCCATAAAGGGCTTCAAAACCACGTCATTATTCTCATACAAAATGAACGTACTTAAACGTAAAACCATATGAGTGATCATAAAATGAGTGAAACAGCAAACGTCGTCTACCGCGTCCAGTGTAGTTCCTGTGAGGCCAACT